ATACCATAGCAAAATTGAAAAAATTTTGAACAAATAACAGACTTCACAGCACATTAAATTGTGTAAGGCAACTTAAAAGAAAAAGGTAGTAAAACCAATAGGAAAAACAGACAAGTGTAACTTTTACAGATTAAAAATAATAAAAATAAACCTAGGTTTATGCTATTTAATTGGCTGAAAGTGAACACAGAATAATTGCTGTGGTAGGATGTGGAGAAATGGGAGCGCTCAAGGGTTAGAGCACAGCGCTGTGAAGCTATCCTCAGTCATTTTACCATGAATTTGATCCCTGGCTAGGGAGGTGACCCACATGGCACAGCCTGCTGACCCCCTGTTCCGCTGCTGCTCCCCTCAGCAGTGTATTTCAGTGGATCTGCCTGTTCTGCTCCCCACTCTGTCTCTGGTGAATCCTCTCACCCCACCCATACCTCTAGCTTGTACCCCAGTTCTTGTATGCATAAATAAATAAATCTTTAAAAAATTGTAAAGAACAATGCAAAACTAGTGAAGTTAAATATGTCAGCATCCATCATTCTATCATTCCCACTGATGGACATTAGTGCAGAGAACTTTCTAATTGGTCCATAATGAGATGAGTACAAGGATGTCCATCATAGCACTGTTGGTTGGGTAAGGGAGTTAGATGCAATGTTAAGAGAATAAAAACCCAAACAGCTGTTAGAAGCAATGTGCTAGATATACATGGAGCAAAAGTGCTAGATCTTGAAAACAATGTTATGTGGAAAGGATTTCTAGCACAATCACGTAAATTAAGACTAACACAAAACAATATGTTTTGCAAAGATAGAAACATACAATTTATATACCAAGCACCGTAGAATGGGGACCGAGTGAAGAAGATGACAGTGGTAATTAGGGATGAAGATGGGGGGATATTAAGAAACTAGAGACTGGGGTATCACAGCACAGTGGTTAAGAGCATGGCAGATGTGGTTGTTGTGAAGATGGGAAGGTGGCAATTTTCAAAATGCTGAACAGCACTTGGCTTATAGGAAGGTGCAGGCCCTATGTTCATGCTTATGGAATAAAATAGAACAGGGATCTGTAGAGGCTGATGGTGATGGAAATTGTGTGAGGAACTAAAATGTATGATTAATTCATTTCGCTGCACCTGGTGTCTATAAGTAAGCTAATAAAGCCTCTGATAGGGTTGATACTATCATTTGCCCATAGAGTAACTATGGCCCCAGTAGGTAAAAGGTGTATCTGAAAATGAATTCTCCAAACAAAGCAAGGTCCTCCGAATCATTCTTGCTCTATATCGTCTTTGTGCACAGAATGTAGAGCTTCCAGAAGGCACAAGATACATGAGTTCAGTGACTCACAAGTCCTTCATTTCTGGGAACACAGACAACTGATGGGCTATATTTGTTTTCTCTGTAGCACCAGATCCAGAACTAGCAATTAAAAAAAAATGTGATGAATTCTCAATTAGCCATAGGCTCTAGTATCAGAAAATGCAAGGAAAATTAAATCTACACATAATTCAAAGATCTCAATCAAGTCAGTAATTTCAGCCTCCAGAAGGATCTCTTGCAGTTCTTTTTAGTCCCAAACACAGTATACCCAGTAAGTATCTGTTATTTAAAATTAATCTCTCTTTTTTTTTGGAAAAGGACTTAAAACCACTTGTTTGTAGTCCTTCAAATCACTTATCAAAGTCATTTGTGAAAACCCAGGCTAGGGCAAAGTAACCCACACGTTAGCAATAACCCCTTTCCGACGGGTGGGAGGGGGTGGGGGTAAGATACCGCTGTTCATTCATGAGTAACTAGGCACAGGCCTTATAGATATTACAAGGACTGTCTGAGGTATCATTCCTATTTTGCAGAGGCAAAAAGGTACAGATAGGGGGTTGCTAATTCACAATCCATAGCTGGGTAGCCACAGAACCAGCACTCAGACTCATGAGGGTCGCTGGTCCTCTGCAGGTTGTCACATGGGGAAGAACAGAGCGAGAATCACTCCATCACTAAAAAGTAAAGGAAAAACACTACGTCCTAAAGCCAAATCCCAGACAGCGAGAGTTGGATTTAAAGCCAAGAAAAGCAGACTGTAAAAACACCACATTTGTCTGTAGAGCTGACACATTTTGGAGCGCATCACTACCTAGAGTGCACACTAACCATGCCGCCAGCCTCCGCCACGCAAGCCTCCGCCACGCAAGCCTCCACAGCACCAGTCCTCCCAGCAGCCTGCCCGCCCATACCCCCCATGCTTGCTGGCAGGATGGCATCCAGCCAGGTCCAGCCTTGTCCCCACCTCTCATCATCACATAATCCTGAAGCCCCTGTCCACCAACTGGCCCACCAGCCATCCCACTTAAGGCTAGAGAATCACAAGGCTAACTTTCTTGTCCAGAACTGGGGTAAACAAGCTGGGTGGCTGATCTGAAACACAGGAGTAATGTGAAAAGGCAGCAATGTGCCAATTACCTTTCCCAGAAGTCTTTCCTCCTCCGTTTCGTTCGGGCTGGGGGTACTCGGTGATGAGGGCAGGCTGAAGACGATGTCTGGTGCATTCCATGCTGCTCTGGAAGCCAGTGTGGCATGTCAGGGCCAGGACAGAGCTGGTGCTGGAGCTGCCGGAGGCCACTACCTAAGGGGATCACAGGGGCCCTAGGAGAAGAAGGGCCTCCAGCTGGCCGCTCACTAAAGTGCCAGCAGCTGGTTGCTGCTTCACTTCACCCTCTCCTGGGGCTCCTCCATGCACATAGACGAGTTACTTCCACTGAAACCGAAGTGACTGTTGCTACAGTCCAGCTGAAAGTGATAATCCATGACACTCCGGGCATGGGGAAGGGAGACTAGGATACGAAAGACAGATCCAAGTAACTTCCAAGTCATGCATTTATTTTTCCTTAATTGGATTTTACAGCTTGTTTGAGCTCTGCGTAGTTCTCCAAGGACTTGTAGAGTGTATGATCGCTCTGTGTCCTGTTCTTCCCCCAAATGGGAACATGCAGAAACAAAGGCTTACATGGGCAATGATTACACACTGGACTTGTGCCAGTTGTCAGCCTCTCTCCTCTGTCTCCCTTCGTCCCCTGTCTGAGGCTTCATTGTGACCTGTTTGTCTCGAGAAAAATGACCAGGGGAGGTTATTACGACGCAGAGGACTGTAAGAATCAGTGGAAGGGACGTGGTGAACCACCAGGATTCTTTGTCCCTTATTATTCCTTTCCTGCTCCATTCTTGATCTTTTAAAAAGAAAGAAGCACAGAAAGAACACAAGCAGGACCACTGGGAACCCAATGGTACCCAATGGTGCCAACTGCCAGCCCTTTCTCCAGGCAGACACAGCAAGGCTTGGGGAATGAGGCAGAAGCTGGAATGCAGCCCCCTGGCTTTCTGGCTGCTGCCTTTGCTCTGCTGCATTTTCCTAGGTACTGCTACTTGGAACAACTCAAGGTTAATGGGCCAAGAGGGGATGGAGTGTCCTTCAAGAACTCTGAGAATGCCAGTGGGTCTTGGTGCTGATGGAACTGTCTCTCAAAAGGGCCCCAGATGGTCACCTGGGAAGGGAGGCACTCACGCTACTTGTGGCTGTCAGGAGTGTCTAACCCACCACCCCACCTTCAACCCAACTTCTTGTATTTGAGCTCTGCTATGTTTCCCAGAGCCAGGATGCACATGAAGAGAAAGAGGTGTGGCACAGGCACAGTCTAACTGAGCACTAGAAACCTGTTTAATGTCATTACATTTCATCTCACTGAACCAAGAGAGGGTTCTCTGTAATCAAGCTCAACAGGAAGTGATGCTGGGAGTCTTCTGCTTTCTTACTTCATGGAGGAAGCAGGGAGAAGGGATATGGACTCTCGTGACTGTTTCTGCCACTCGGCTGAGAGGTGTCACTGGCTAACCTGACAGCTCAGGGACCAAGGCTAGGTGGACATCATTTATCAAATATATCACAGGGCAGAGATTCACCAGCCACCAAGTTGGACTCTTGGCGCTGGAAATGTAATGTGTGACAGCTGCGTGCAGTCAGTGGTGTCCAGCATTTTAAAAAGGTCAATTAAGAAACGGTTGATGGTGGTGCAGCTAATGACAGCCCAGAGGGGTGAGCCGGGCCGAGTAAACAGAAGGGCTGAGATGTATATTACTGGAATTGAAGTGTTGAAGTGAAGCGTGCTGGGGAGGAAATCTATTGTCACAGGCCATAAAGCACATCTGAGTTTTGCAGTGTAGAGTGGTACAGCTGTTTCCCTCCCCAGGCGGCGTGGGGAGCAGTCTGTGAATGGAGGTCTCAGCAGACAAAGGCGACACCTGCGTCAGCTTTATCAATCTGCAGACAAAAATCATCACCCTTCTCACTGACTGTTTCCACGTGGGGAGCATAAGGCAGATGCTGGAGTGATATCTGAAATGTGGGTCATGTTCTAGAAATCCATATTTTAAGCATTCCCGAAAGCTGGGTTTCCGCTTTCTCCTCACAGCGTGTGTGGGTGGGCAGGGGGATGGCAGAAGCCTAGACGCCAGCCCAAGCAAATGCTTTCCTCAGACGACACATTTGCTGCCCGGCTTCTGTGGACACACAGAACCAGGGGACAGCTAGATCTTTACACTGTGATGGATAAAAGAGGGGCATGAAGCCTTACAAAGTCTATTTCAGTCTCTGACAGAATTGGCTCCTGGGTGGGGGAAGGCACTGTGTGGGGCTCATTTTTTTTTTTTTTTAATCAGACAAAGGGGTCTTAGATTGCTAGGACAGGCTCTTTTTGGCCACATCTACCTGTCAAGCAAGAAATTCAATAGAGCAATGGAAATGCTAATTGAAATGCAAAACAGGTCCAGGGATCCTAGAAATGTCTAATGATCCTCCCATTCATTGTGAATGTGGAATTAAGATATGCACTAACTGGGAAGGAGTAAGAACACCAACCTTTGGCTTTGGCATTTTTTTCCCTTCGTTTTCGAACCTACTTTGGGAAACTTCACAGTCTAAAAAAAAAAAAAAAAGTATTGCAATCAATGGGGTTTGTCTTTCACACACTGGATATTTATTATTAGAAAATAACTTCTATCAGCTGTCAGTACCAAACAAGTTGAAAAGAGCGTGCTTCTCACCATCATTTTTTTCCCTTAATGAAATCTAAATAAACAGCTCACTATGGGGAGAGTTGCCACGCCTTTCCCCCCTTTAAAAACTGAAAACTAAATGAAATTCAGTATAAAACCTCTTTCAAACATGACTTATTCCGCTGCTGTTATGCTGTTTCTCTGAGTGAGGGCATGAAAGAGATGAGCAGGACCACTGGAGCTATCAAATCATCCCAAAGAATCTAAGTGGAAACCAGGAAGCAAATAAAACTAACCCAAACATAACCCGTCCAAACCAAGAAACCAGTTTTAACATTGGCTTTTCAATTTTGAATATCATCTAAGTTTAATATATAGATATATTTGAAATAGTAATAAAAAAGGAAGAGCTGAATTGCATCTTTAGCAGGACAACCTTCCTCATGTTAAAGAGGTGTTCAGAAAATTCCATACAGTATCTGCTAAATAAACATGTTTGGCAGCTTAGCAAATATCATATGATTGCAGCATCCATGATTTGAAGTAAAACAGCATTTGCTTTCTTCTGGCAGGGTTCGTTGTTCTGAGTGATGTGCTAACACGTGGCTCTGGATGTTCGCCGACCCGTGGGCTTCGGTGGGTGTTTGGAGGTGGCTCAGTGCATGGCCCCAGTGCAGAAACTTCCAAACCCTAAACAACGAATCAACCAACCAACCACACAAACATCAAACAATTGTCTCTTTTGAGTTCCTCTTGGCAGAATGGAGGCCCAGCAAGGACTGCTGGTTAGAAGGTACGTTGACAGACTTTGGAATGAGGAGAATCACCCTCTGATTGGTCCGACGCCATTCATTGTACAATCGACAGTGGTACCTAAATGACACCTGGGATGAGGAGAGGGAAAATAAGGGAAGGTTTCAGATGAGCAGAAGCTGATAACCCAAGAAATATAAGGCACATTTAAAACAGCTCTGAACTGTAGGGCAAGAATCCTGGGCGCTGCAGCTCCAGCAAGACGCTTCGTATAGTTAGGCAGATTGGGCACCAGTCAGAGTACCCGTGTGTAGATACATTGTGCACAGTGCTCCCCCGGGGAGCATCCTTTATTCCTTCTTACATTGAGTAAAATCAGGATCTGACTAGAAAATGAGGTTCATTCAGAGGTTGCATTTATTTTGGGGGTAGTGTTGGGGCATCACTTCTTAATAAAATATAAACTGTGAAGGCTGGCTGGAGGTAACTGGGCTGGAGAAAACTGGCATTAGCCCTTGCCCAGCTGTGGGACCTGGTCCCATAGATTCCTCTTTGCTAAAAAAGAGAGACACCAGGGCTTCATGTACCCTCCTTCAGGTTAGACATTCTGCAATTCAAAGGATGCCATTCACACGAGTCTCACAAAGGGTATACCCTTCACATCGTGCCAAGTACAGCCCACCATGGTGGTGCCCATGATCCCCACTGCCTCCAGCTCCAGCATCCTATGATTTCCAGGGGCACCAACATCTCTAGTAAGTTCTTCTTGAGACTCAGGCTGGCCAGCTGCAACTTCTATAGGTGCCCACAGTGCCTTGTGCTTATCTTGTCACTGTACCCCAGTGTACTCGCTTCTCACATGTTCCCCCACTGGAAGCAGGGCTGTGTGGTTCCATCCTAGCATGCCCAGCACTTATCACAGTGCCTGGTACGTAAGAGGTTACTCAGTAGTGTTTGCCCAGTGAATCAATGAGCGAGTAAACACACTATGCCCTCTCATTGCAACATGGCTTTGGACTTATATCTCTTACATAATACATGATGGTCTGGGCAGTAAACTGAGGGTCAATGGTGAGGGAATTGTGCTTCAAAGGTGCTTGTTTTTCATGTAGAAACTGCAACGAAACACACCTGTAGCTTGTTTTAGAGATGGCAGGCATAAAGTTTTAATGGACTCCTCAGGAAATTCAGAGTCTACATTTTTGAAGATGTATAAACTGCCTTTAAAAATGGGTGTAGGTTCCAGTGTGAATGCATCCAGGTGACTAGGGGATGCCTAGAAGGAAGGTGCCCAGGAGATTAGCCTGACACATAATCCAGGTATGGGCTGTTTAATCATCTGGGTGGGTGGGCTGCATTGACCCCAGTACCGGGTGCATGGTGTTCAGAGAGTAGGCTGATCTGATGGCTTGAGCTCAAGCATTTCAGAAAGTAGAAGAGAGTGCAGACCCTTTTTTTGAAAAGAGCTTGTTAGTCTTCATGGCAGGATCATGAAATTCAAGGCCACTCACTCAAATTTCCAAGGCTAGAAAGCAGATGCCACAGGCTGAGTGCCAGAGAGAGTTGGGTATGAAAATATCAGCTTTTTAATTCACACAGATGTGCTTTTCTCCAAAAGTCCCTGAACATGCCAAAAGTGGATCAGGGTTTTTTGTTTTTTTTTTTTCTTTCTTTCTTTCTTTTTTTTTTTAAAGAAGCTTGACTCTCATCTATTCTGTTCTGCTGCTTGGTAGTACTCATGAAAGTAAGAGAGGCAGGTTGGAAAGCCTGCTGTTCAGGGCTGAGGGCAGGGGAGAGGTATAACACAGACAAGTACTAATGAAGAGCTTTGGCGCTACAAAAAGTCTGGAATCTGGAAATATTACAGGAAAGCTGTCTTTTAGAGCAAGAGTCCTTTTTCCATGATGGTGAAGGGCAGTGTGTGCACAGTTCTCAGTAAGCAGAGAAACAGCTGTGGTGCGTGTGGGCAGCACCTTCTTGTACAGTGTGGAGAGCAGACCTCAGGCTCTGGGGCCAGATACTTGGGGTGTGAACCCCCACTTTGTCTACTGGCTCTGTGACTTTAGGGGGCTAGTTTCTGGCCCCCAGCTTTGTTTCCTTGTTTGTAAAACACGAGTACTTTTATCTGAGGCAATGCATAAAAAATACTTAGTACAGTGTCTTGCACACATGTTAGCATTGTTGACCTGTTCAGTTTTGATGTGTCAAATATGGGAAAGAAGACAACAACTTGATACAAAAATCTGGGTGGAAAGGGAGTTGGGCTGTTATGCACATAACCTTGTTCTCTGTGTGATGGTGGGCAGGCAGGGGCAAGCTGCATCACTGGGGAGCTTGTTAAAGTATCAGAATTTGGGGCTCCACCCAGACCTAAGGAATCATAGCGTGCATTTTAACAAGATCTCCGGTTGATTCACGTGACATTCAGACCTGAGAAGCACTGCTTTGGGAGCATGGGGAGTCAGTGACCTAGCAAGGTGTCCTCCTGGCTCCTCAGTCAGGAAATAAAAAATCAGCCCACTTGTTCAGACAAACAAATGAGATCTTGTTATGCATTAATCTATCTTAATTGCTGCTAACCATCACCGTCTGCAGGCAAATTCAGTCAATAAAGTATCATATGAAGGTGACTCCCTATCAGAGAGGATAAAGGCACCTACAGGCACAAGTTGAAGAAGCCACAGGTTGGCAACTGCCCTGAGTTAAATGCTTAGCTTGTGTGGCTCAGGTGACCAAGGCACTGCTTTCCCACAGGGGAAGGAGCAGGTAAAAAGGATGGTTGATTTAAGAGAAATTAAGAGGTACTTGAGGGAAACAAGCAACATAAGTCAAAAAAGAAGCTGTAGGAATAAGTAGGAAGTTTGTTTAGATATTAAACTTCTGAGAAGGGCCTTCCCTGGTGGGGCAGGACTCAGCACTGCAAGCTGGCCACAGCTGCTTCAGTGCGAGTTCAATCCCTGGCCCCAAGGTGACCCACATGGTGTGGCAGACCTCTTCTGACCAGCCTGCTGTTTCCCTCAACAGTGTACTTTGTCGATTTGCCTGTTCTGCTCCCCACTCTGCCTCTGGTGAATCCTCTCACCACCTCTGGCTTGTACCCCAGTTCTGTATGCATAAATAAAAAAATCTTTAAAAAGAAAAACAAACTTCTGAGGAGAGGGGAGGAAGAATATTGGGCCAGAGTTGTAAAAAACACTTGAATTCACTTATTGAAGTGAATTCATTTACTCATCCAAAAGACATGATTTAATCTTCTCTAGTGGGCATGTTTCGTAAAGAGGGCTGTGATCATATAGAATGGCACAAAGGAAAATATTAACCTCTACTCCCCATCAGGGAGGTGACAGGTTGTGGTGGAAGATTTGCTGTAAAGTCACAGCAGGCTCTGGGAAATCTCATTATTTAATTTCATCCTGCCCTTTCTTTCTGGAGGTTATGGTACCACTGAAGCACATTAATGGGGCCAGGACTTTGTAAGTTGCCTTCCCAGAAATGGGCCCAACTCACTCATCTCTGATTGCACCTGCCAATGAGAAATGCCAAGACTGATCATAATCAAGCTGCCCAAGCTGTTCAGGGGTGTGTCTAAACCACCCCCTTAGAGACCCTTGTTGGGATAAGTATTCTACTGGAGATTTCTCTTTTTAAAATGAGAATTTAAATGATTAACCTAAGGGACTGGGAGTCAGCTAGAGAGATGGAACGCTCATTCATTTCAAGCTGTGATTTAACCAGTTGCTATGCTGGATGCTAGTTTCATCAGTGATAAAGTGAACAGAAGGACTTCCTGGGGATCCCTGCACCAGAGAACTCCAATTCTCCTCCCTCTAAACTGGGGCCAATTTCTTCCCATTTAACATGGACTCAGTTCTCATCTAGCTCTCATGGTGTCTGTCCTTGGACTTCAAATGGTTTCTGACATGAACAAGCAGGTTTCTCAGCTCTTAAGTGGAGATGGCCTTAGCCTTTTGGGTACTAAACACTTCTGTTTATACACAGCAGATTCCAGAGGCAGGACTCCCTAATTTTGCAGCAAGACCGGGTCCTTGTGGCAACATCTTGGGGCAGCAGTACAGGTGAATGTATCTCAGCACTGAGCCACGGAGGTCCTTCCAGGAGGGCACCTCTGAGGAGGCAGGCTGGGACTGACACTGTGTTTGTTTATCTAAGTCATTTTCACAGCATATTCTCTTTAAGCTTGACAGCTTGTTTACAATGTGTTTCTGCCATAGGGCAGTTTCCAAGTGCTGTCAGCTTTGAGCTACAGCTCTTGCTGCGGTGCTCAGTACAGCATTTATCTGGGAAGGAGTTAGGCTACATTCAGTAACCTAACTGACACCGCATAGCATGTTTTTCACACTAGTCAAAGGAGAGATGGACCCTTTCCCCCCTCCAGACGTTGCATTTTCTAGAGAGCTGGGGTGCACAGGGAGTGGGGGAGCTGGGCAGTCACAGGAAGAGAAACCCTGCCAGTACTAAATCTGATAGATCTTCTGGATGTTACCCCATCAAATTCTCACAGTAACCCACTGACCCAGGCATTATCACCGTCTCCTCCATTTTTGCATAAAAGGAAGGGTGATCTTAAGGGAAGGAAGATCAAGTGCCCTGTTTGAAGCTACTGGGATGTGCACAGCTATACGCTGTCTGCAGCTATTAATTAGGATGCTAAATCTTGGGTTTAAACACAGGGTCTTAGGATTCTAAGTGTAAGGGCTTTTTATTTATTTATTATTTTTTGTTGTTGTCATTGAGGATTTTTTCTCTCTCTAATTATTTACATCTTTCTTCATTTTGTATATTTTTTCATGACAGTTGTAATCTCCACCACCACTTCACTCATGTGCCATTACCACAGTCCCATGCGCTCTTCCCACCCCAGTTTTGATCCTGTTTCCCTCGTCACCTCTGTAGAATGTCTCTGGTTTACAGTTGTTAGATAGTGTTTGGATTTACTTTATAATGATCCCCCCCACCCCCAATTCCTGTAATGGCCTTTTTACTATGCAAAATTGCCTCTCAGACAATATTTGGGAATGAAGTGTTTTATCACTCTTTAAAAAGCCTACCCCAGTGCCTTTCCCACTCAGACCTTCCTTTCACCTGAAAAAAGGTCATTCTTTCCCCCTAAGTAATTTTTTTCTTTCTTTCATTCCTTTTACCTCCAACCTTCCCCCCCCACCCCAACCCCTTTACTAATTAGGGAATTATACAAAGCAGGTTTCCCAAAAGGACTTAAATTGATTTCAAAGTCCAAAATCTGGATTTACATCTTAGCCTTAGGAATTCTTGTGGGAAACAAACAAACAAACAAACAAACAAAAAAGATTAGTAAACTCTAAACTTGGTAAAAACTCACACTTAATATTATTTTCTAAGGTATTCCCCCTGTATGCTTTCATTTCAAGCTCATAACACCAGGGAAGCTGGCAGGATGACGATTACTACCTTCCCACCTTATAGGTGAGGACACAGAGGCTCAGAGATATAAAAGACATTTAGAACGTTGCTAGTTAGATCATTAAATTTTTCTTTGCTAACCCTCCTCCCATCACAATGACCTTTCATTTCGGAGTGAGCTTTGTTGCTTGATTCACAATCAATCAGAACACACTCTGGAAGCATAGACTTTTAACGGAGGTAATAGTAGTTTTGCTTGGGAGCTTTGTTAAGCCTAAATAGCCTGCTGACTCAGACAAAGTCTGGCACACTCTCTATCAAGGCTAAAGTCATGTCCCTCTTATTGAGGCTGAAATAGGCACCCCCACTTACTGTCTCAACACTCTCCTCTGAGGGAAAGGAATTGCAGCAGAAGAGCCACACCATGAACAAAGAGGGAAATGAGCTTGAGGGTGAGGGTCAGGGTGCTCAGGGTCACAGAATGGCAGCTGATGGCACAGGGTTTCGAAGACAGAGGAAGGTAGGAAGCATGAACGACTGAAACTTCCAGGTGCTGACGTGATGCTATGAGATATGGGTGGTATGCTTTAGACAGGAAATACATATTGAATAACAATGGAACGTGCTCAGATTAGAAACCAGCAGACACAGGAGAGAGATGCCAGGAAGCAGAGGGCTTGTTTCTGAAAATATTCTAGAGGACAATGACGTTCTTCCCTGGTGTCCCAGAGGTGACATAAAGAGAGCTCAAAACACTGCACGTGGTTGCCATTTGGTGCCTGAGCAATCACCTTAGCCCATGAGTTAAAAAAATGGAAAATCAGATATGTTTAAGAATTCTTCCTCATATGCAGCAAGAACACTTATTGGGAAATGTTTTTCCTGGTGGCGGCTTCTCAGTTAGATGAATTAGCGCCATTACGGGCCACATAGTCAATGTCTGTACACACAGAATAATCATCAGGTAAAGCGCAGTTCCACTCAACAAAGACTTTAGGCTGTGTCAGGATGTAAGAAGAAAAGAACTAGCAGGAGGATTCATGATCTGTGCAGGCAGCGAGAGCTACAGTGGCCAAGTGCATCATTCATAATATACTACAATCCTGCCAAAGCGAGGAACATAAACAAGAAAAGAAAATGCCACGCCTCCTAACAGATGGAGCCGTAGACTACTAGAGGAGAGAAATGTCCAGGGTGTGTGTCCTTGACTGACAAATTCTTAGAAGCCAGGCCTTTTTCTTTAGTTGATTTGCTCTATCCAGCAGCGCATGTACACACACACACACACACACACAGACACACACACATACACAATCTCTCTCTCTCTTTTTCTCACCAGCATCTGAAGGTCTATCTTCTACTGGGCCTGTGAGATGTGCTACAGACAAGAGGGAATGCTGTGCCAGCTGTTAGGCTGCCGCTCCAGCTGGCCTGAACCCCTGGCCACGGGCCATACTTACTAGTGTCCAAAAGAGGTAAATAGTGAAGAGTGCGACAGTGAGTGCAATCAGTCCGACGGCTTCGAGCCGACTACTAAAGTGCAGGTGGTCCACGGCGCCCCGAAGGCAGAGCCAGCCTGAGATGGTGGCCAGGGGGGTGATGAACAAGAAGCACACCATGTCTCCAAACAAAGTCCGCTTCTCATGCTGGGGGCCTGGGTTTCTGAGCCACTGCCAGGGAAAAAGAACCAAAGAAGAGTAAGGAAAACTTTAAAACCCAATATGGAGTGCAGGCATTCTACTCCACAGTTGTCATTGTCTTTAGAATCTGTAAAAAGTAACTTCTGACCCGTTCTGAGATCAGAAGGAGACAGTAAGAGCTCATTCCCCATTCATGGCTGCTCCCCTTGAATAACAGTGATTCTGATGATAATACTTTGACAACAGTGATTAGGACAACAATGTCCTTGCTGTTGATGGCCTGCTGGCTTTTGCAAACAGTTCAGGGACTTTTGTTGTAATTACAATGACTCTGCAATGGAGCACAGTAAGGACGTTATTCTTGGAAGGTAATAGTTGACCTATAAGAGGTTCTGTCATGTGGCCAGTCTTCTAGTACCTCAACACTGGCAATGGGCTCACAGGAAAGGATTAACTCAGCATGTCCCAACTGCTCAAACCCTGCAAGTCCCAAGAAAAACTAGTTTTTAAGATTGGTTCCCTAAGAGCTGAGCTCTGAGTCCTTGTCACATTCTGCCTGATACCCGTGTTGTTGCATGCCTGAGATCTTGGGTCACATGGCAGCAGTTTGTTTATTCTTTAGACCATGATATGATTTATATTGAACACCCACTTTGGCCTGAGGTTTTGCACTCTGAGCAGCTAAGACCCTGGACATCATATCATATTGTTCCCTGTTCTGGAGCAATAAACAGCCCGGATATCAAAGCAACAGTGAGCTTCTCTGGCTGCTAGTGCTTCGCACATGTCATATATTGTTGCTAAAAAAATGACACACATCTGAGTGACATCACTGGGAAAATGCAAGCTTGAGCTTGCTATCTCCCATTTACCTTCTCTCTCTGCTAATTTTAATCTGTATCCTTTTTTCTGTAATAAACTATTCCTAGGTCTAAAGAGAGTATTTTTTTTTTATTAAAATCCTTTGAATCCTTTTGGTCTTGGAAACACCTGGATGTGACTCTTCTGGCCCCATAAACTTAGTAATTCCCCCTCTTTCACATTTTAGGACCCTGAATCTCCTACTTAGGACCATCCCTGCCATCATACTTGTGCTATTCTTGACTAAACCAACCCTCAAAAGGATGAGGGAAAAATTGCATGCTTGTTGAAAGCTAGAGATGTGAATTCCTACAGGGATGGAAAAAAGGGTTCTTGTCTTCCCACTTGGAGAATTGTTGAATGCCTGCTGAAATCATTTCTATAATTACTGCAAAGCCAGGGCTTACATATTAGTATCAATAATACAGGTAATGAGGCCCAGTGACTTCTCTTCAGATTAACATTATAACGTCCCCATGTAATAGGACATTCCCATTCACTAGTCTGTGTAGCAATGACAAAGGCCAGGAAGTCCAGAGAAGGACTGAGGTCAATAACCAATGATGCGGTGGGGATTGGTAGATAATGGCTGACTCCACCTTCTATCAAGTCTTACCAGCAAAGGAAGACTAATACCTTGCAAAAAACACCTAATACCTTGGCCCTCAAAGGAAACTACTATGGGTGCTTGGCAGATATATCAGCTGGATGGGACAGCAATTCCCACAAACTCATTGGCAGGAGGGAAAGAACCATGAAAGGGAGACCAGAGTGGGTGAGGATGACTGGAAGGGAAGGTAATAGTTAAGAGTGGGAGAGAGAACAGCTGTGAGAGGATAGATGGCATGGGAGGTAAAAGGCACAGAAGTTTCTGTGGAGGTGCCCTTTCTCCAGTGATAGCCTGAGGGAAATCTAACACACCTGAAATGTTCAACATACCACTTCACAGTGATAATGAATCTTAAAAATGCACTGAGATACTGACAGAAGTCAGCCTTAGTTCAGAAGTGAATCTGAATAAATATTAAAAAAAATAGTTAATGGGGGAGTGGAGTTGTCTGTGACTTTAACATATAAACATTTACTGAAAATACTAAAACGATCATATGCAAATGACATCAACCTGTCTGTCATGTGTTATAATTCTAACTCAGGCATCTCAGCAAATTTAAAGAAATTCAAAGAGCTCTTATTATCATTTTCTTGTTCAAATTCTAGTAATATTGCTATTAAGTGGAGAATAGAAATTGGGCATTAGTATCCCAGTTTTACAGAAACTCAGCAAGGATTGTTCCAGGTGATTCACAGGTCAAACTGAAAAGAAGGTAAGAATATTTCATTCTTATCCAGATGTGATATTAAATTTGAAAAATAAAATTGCAAGTCATTCAGAAATCCAAATTCTTCAACCAACAATGGTGATCAAATTGCAACACAGTTTAGATTTTCCTGGAACCAGATCTGGGTGGTCCACCTACTCTTCTTTGTACCCCCACTTATTGAAGTATAGTAAGCTCTCAGCAGGTATGCCACAGATGTGCGGATGTGCTTATCTCACTGGCTAAGACTTCTCTCAATTTTTTTCCATTTTTTGCTTAGGAATATTGAATACACTTCATTAAAACTAATTTAGTGCTTTACTTATCTATGTGGCCCTTGACATTACCCAATGAAATGACACAGGTATGGAAGGATATAATTATGATCACCACTTACTTCTGTCTGATGTGAAGGTAAACTAGAAATTAGCATTGCATATTCCTCATTTCCTAATTGTTCTTTGAATTCTTATCTTCCTGAAAAATTTCCAGGCCATTTTATGTCTATAATCACACAATACCTGCATTCTGCCTTAACATTTTTTCGGATGGGAAAGAGCTCAGCTTACAGTTTGTGTTGTTTGCTGTTGTTCACGTTTAGGTCTGAAGGTTTTTTTAAAGGGTACTAATATAGACACAATAATGTTAAAATCTGTGACTTTTTCAGAACCGAGTGTTATTTAGCTCTTATAGAAACACAGGTCCTATGAAGACCAGTGGTAATAACTTTGTAGTTGAGGAAAAAAATCATCTTGTGCTATAGAAAGAACCTCTCCCAAAGGAACCAAATATATTGACACAGGATATTCATATAAGCAGAATTTATAACAGAAAATTTGATGATAGCTCAACTTTCTTGTTGAGCTAGCTAACAAATTATAGTACTCTCTGTAAATAAAATACAATGTAGCAATTTCAAATGATAATGTGCATTTTGTGTTTATGGACAAGATATATACAGAGCACATAAGAATTGTACAGGATAGAATATACAGTATGATCCTGTGTGTATTGATATGTTGACACAGATGCAGACATTTACACTTACAAGGATGTAACCCATTTACATAGAGAAAGACCAGAAGGCTATCCAGAAAAATAGCAGCTATTCTTGGTAGTGGAAGAATAACATATGATCTTTAATTTTCTTTCATTATGTAGAACTTGTCTTGCTTTTCTAAAATGAACATGGATCATTTTGTACATGTTAGTTGTGTATTCAACATCTGGGAAGACACCTACACACAGAGTGAGAGATGGGGAGATAAGGGAATTGGGAGAGGAAGGTTGTCTAGCTTGGGCATAGAAACCATGGCACTAAAAAATTAATAGGTATGTCTCGGGTAAGCTCAGTGCTGCAAGTTTGGAGTTTATGATGCAGTATCTCATTGAGTCTTCCTAACTTGATGAAGCAGATGTTAACATTATCCTTATTTTATAAGTAGAGTTACCCGGGATCAGAGAGGTTAGCAACTCACCTAGGATAGATATAGCAAGAAAGAATTAAATATGAGATTCAAACCAACCTGACTTTGCTGTTCTTTGATGTCCAGATTTACATTTTCTCTCTGTACCATATGGTGTGTCTATGTGTGTGCATACTAGATTTTTGCAAGTTTTCAGCTATGTTGGGTATAAGTCCTACTGTTTTCTTGGGTACATTATTTAGATGAATGGTTAGCTGGCCAGCATGTTATCATGGTAATTTTACAACATATTCTTAGGTTGGAGTTCTGTTCTGTTAATTCCTTTACCAAAATACAATGAAATCCAATTTCTGGGTGTTTAATTTTAGCTATGTTATCATGCATTTTGGTTTAATTTACAATAGACAAAAGATTGGTCTCAATTCTTACTCATTTACATTTCTAGCTGTTGCGTGTCTTCTACCTCCCTTAGGAGTTACACTTATTATACCTACAGTTCTACAACTATTCTATAGTAGTATTGTTACAGGGCAAGGAGAGGAGCACCCCTGAACTACCAATACTGCCCACTCTAAATTGGTCTGCCATCTGCCACATTAAGGCAAAACATATAAGACGTTTAATGGGAAGGAACTTTAATATAATTAGTGTGTAATACAGAAAAGACAAAGAATATAGTTTCTAAATCAAACACCCAAAGTCACCCATCCATTCGTGGGTAAAAGTCTACCCAAAAGGGAGTGATCCAAAGCAAGGCCCGAAAGCCTGCCACAGTCTAAAGCACCTTCTGGTGGGGACCCATAGAAAAGTGTCAGAAATGGACAGACAAGTCTGGGAGGAAAAGAGCAAAATCAAAATCAAGATAAATGCTGCCATAGTGAACCTCCTCATGGGTCTCTCATCCACATCTGTTGCAACCAGTCCAGGACAAAGAAACAAGAGCCACTTCTCACATGTCCCAGTGCTCCACATGGCTCCCTCAGATCTCTCTCTGCTCTCCACCCTGCTTCCCTCCTCTGTAGTCTCCTCTCGAGATTCTTCTCCCTGCTCAGCACTACCCTCCTTTTCAGTGGAGTAGGGAACCAGAAACCTCCCCTTTTCCGGGAGACCACCATGTTATTGTATCTTCATCTCTGAAGCATCCAAGAAAGAGCAGACTCAGGCAGAATGGGAGAATTGTTTGTGTCTGTGGCCCCCCTGACCCAAGGTGGGGCTTCATCTTTGTATCAGTAGTATCGATCACATTCAACATCACAATATAGAATGTATGACAATGGCTGATATTTACTCAGATATTATGATGCCTTAAGCACTAATTTATAGGCTACATAGAGTTATTCATTTACTCTTTACTAGCCATTATTGTCACTACTATTTTATTAGTACAGAAACAGGTATAGTGAGGCACTGAGAAGTTAAATAA